AATAATGTGCCTCGAACACTACATTTTAAAAATGCACACATGGAAGACCAAATGTGTGTGTCTGCGCGTGTGTGCTCGTGCCCCATGATGGCAGCCATTAGACAGGAGTAAGGCAGCCATGATGAATCGGCACTTAGCCCAGGGAAGCGCACTTGCTCAATGGGCTGTGAATCTCCCGCTGCCACTGTCAGCCTGCAGAATGTTAAATAAAGTTATTTGAATATTTGTAATATTAATGTGCCAGTGTGTCAAAAGCCCGCTGGAGCCTATCGGTGGGAGAAAATATGAGAAGATTCATATTGCCATGTAGGCCTATAGGACTGCTCTGGTGAGGGATTTACAGAAAAACCTGACTAAATAAATACATAATCATGGGCTGTGCATTACATTATAAGGATGGATGGGATACGAGTTCCATGAATAGTTAAATCAGAAAATATTATGGATAATAATATTAGCAATTATGTTTCTTATCATCTTATTTCACTAGTATCCAATTCACATCTTCACAAAAATCAATAGCTGAAACAATGCTCCCTCCCTTCCAATGCTTTTACTATCCTCTGTCCTCAACCCAGTCTCAAAGTCCATGCAGGCGTGGAGACTCTGAGCAGCTATGTGCTTTGCATAGGAATGGCCCACTGAGGTTACAAAAAAGAGAAGCAATAAGCTTTGAGCATGGTTAACCAATTACAAAAGAAGACAAAATATAGGAGAGGGCCTCATAAAATAAGACTGCCAGCTTTATAGACTCCAGGCAGGCATTTATCAGCTCATAGAAAATTTTGTTCCCCAAAGGAAAAAGCGTGAATAGCAAAATAAGGAACAAGCAGTCTAAACTTTTGAATTGCTCTTCATAGTATGTAATTTAGCCCTGTTTACTCTGAAGCAATTCCTGCCACATCATTCACTTGTAAGAGTTTAAACGTCAGAATAATTAGCTTACTGGGGAGTTTTAATCACTTCATGTATGAGAATACAAGCAACATTAAAGTGATCAATGATTATATCAGACTATTAAAAAAAAAACAGAGAGATGGATGTGAAACAAAGCTAATCAAGGTGATTCTCAGCTGGAGACCACGACAACGACCATGAGAGGGTCCACTAAAACCATCCAATCGGTCTTTCTTAGAAACTTGACTTAAGCAGGACACACACACAAGACAAGCTTTGCGTTGGTGGAGGTAGTGGGGTGCTATTTGGAGTGCCTCCGCTCGATTTAACAGGGAGGTGATAAAATATTTAGCAGATTGCTTACATAGCCAAGGGGGAGAGGGGAGAGAGAAAGAGAGAAAGAGGGAGAGGAAGAGAGAGAGAGAGGGATACCCAAATGGCTTGTGTGGGAGCTGGGGAGCTGGTAATGAGGATGGCATGCTGGCATCATCGTTACAGAGCACAACAACTCTACATGTTCTCTCTGCCCAACTGACACCAGGCAATACACACACACACACAC